GGGGCCTGGGTTTCAGCTGTCCACACCACAGCAGTGGGCAACGAGCTTAAAGCCCCTGATGGCTCTGGGCGCCGACTCTCACCAGTGGCTATGGATGAAGTCACAGGCGATTTTCAGCCAGTGCCGGGGTAACCTTTTTTTGTGGTGTGCTTTAGAAATCTCTTCCATGCAGGCATGGCCTTTTCTGTCTTTTGCCTTACCCCTAGTTCTCCAGACTTTTGAGACTCTTGTTTGCCTCTGATGATGAGTGTTTGAATGAGATGAAACTGAAACTAGGAACTAACATTTTCTTATTTCTATTTTCCCCTTTTCCCCAAAGGTGTCGTTTGCAGCTCACATTGCGGGTGGATTCGCTGGGATGTCCATAGGTTACACTGTGTTTAGCTGCTTTGATAAGGCGCTGCTGAAGGATCCCAGGTTTTGGATAGCAATTGCTGCTTATTTAGCTTGTTTCATGTTTGCTGTGTTTTTCAATATATTCTTATCACCTGCAAACTGAATTGCCCCAAATACAAATACTTTAAAAAAGGAGTAATTTTGGAAGAAACAGAACTCTACCAAGAAACAGAGAAGTTCTAGTAAACGCTATCAATTTTACAAAGAAGAGAAAATACAACTTATAAGTTGCAAGGACTGTGTACAGAAAAGAAACCAAACAACATAGAGCTTAAGGAAGGGGAATTCTGAAAGAAAAGGGAGAGAAAAGGTAAAGAGGTGGCTAATAAAAACCAGATATTAGGTCTTTTCAAGGCCTAGATATGTGTACATATATTCTAGACAAAAGGCTTGTTTTTTAAAAAGATATATTCTAGCAAATGTTCAATAGAATTTATGAATATCATGTACTATAATAAAACCTTTTCTTATCTTTTTCAGACTCTTGATAATCATTTACAAGTAGATTACAGTTAGAGGGGCTTCATATACATTCCTGCTAAATTTTGTGACAAAGCAGTAGCTTTATTTTTGAGACTGTTGTTAGGTGCCGTCCATCTGATTTGGATTCACAGTGGCTCCATGTGACACAGGAGAACTGCCCCCTAAGGTTTCTTTGGCAGCAATGATCGTGATAGTACAGGAGTCATGGTTCTTCCCTGGAACTCTTTGCCAACTAAGAACTACTTTTAGGGGAGCACGGGTGGCATAGTCTATAGGGAACTGTGTTAACCCAATTAATAACTACTTTTGAAATTTAATGCAAATATTTAATCAGGGAATTATGTTTGTTATGTTATGTACCTTATCATCTCATTGTTATTGAGTTGGAACCAACTTCTAGCAGACCCTTGAGCGGGTTTTCAGAGACTGTAAATTACTAAAAAAGAGAGAGCCCATCTTTCTTCCAAGAAGCAGCTGGTGGATTTGAATTGCCTACAAAGGCAGAGAAAGAAGAAAAGACCAAGACGAATGTCAGAAGAAACTCTAAATATTGCACTGGAGCGCCGATAAGCCAAAGCAAAGGGAAGAAATCAAGATATTAAGGAGTTGAACAGAAGATTTCAGAGGGCAACAAGGGAAGACAAAGTATAAATGTGCAAGGAGCTGGAGTCAGAAAATCAAAAGGGCCAAACTTGCTCAGCATTTCTTAAGCTCAAGGAACTGAAGAACAAATTTAAACCTCGAGTTGCAATACTTAAGTATGCTTTGGGCAGAATAGTAAATGATCCAGGAAGCATTAAAAGAAGATGGAAAGAGTATACAGAGTCATTGTACCTGGCCCAGCATTTCTTAAGCTCAAGGAACTGAAGAACAAATTTAAACCTCGAGTTGCAATACTTAAGTATGCTTTGGGCAGAATAGTAAATGATCCAGGAAGCATTAAAAGAAGATGGAAAGAGTATACAGAGTCATTGTACCAAATGGAATTAGTGCACAAAGAAGAATTTAATGAAACAATGTATGAGCAAGAGCCTATGGTGATAAAGGAGGAAGTTCAAGCTGCTCTAAAAGAATTGGCAAAAAACAAGGCCCCAGAAATTGATGGCATACTAACTGACATATTTCAACAAACAGATGATTCCCTGGATGTGCTCACCAAGTTGTGCCAAGACATCTGGAGGATTTCCTGGTCTACTAACTGGAAGAAATCTATTTGTTCCTATTCCAAAGAAAGGTGATCCAACAGAGTGTGGAAATTATCGAACAATATCATTGATAGCACGTAAAAGCAAGATTCTGCTGAAGATCATCTAAAAATGACTGAACAGCACAGCAACAGGGAACTGCCTGAAGTGCAGGCTGGATTTAGAAGAGGTACTCGGGATATTGTTGCTAATGTCAGATGGATCTTGGCTGAAAGCAGAGAGTACCAGAGGAAAGTCTATCTGCGTTTCATTAACTATGTAAAGGCATTTAACTGTATGGATCACAACAAACTGTGGCTGACTTTTTTTTTTTAACTATAAAAAACGAAATTTATTCTCTTACAATTTAGAAAGTTGTAATTGCAAACTCAGGATGTTAACATTGGAGGAAAGGCCCTATCTGTTGGTTCTGGACATCTATAGGTCCAGCAGTCCTTTGATGCCGCTACATGTTTTGGTCTTCCCTGAAGTGAAGGAGTTTCTGAAAGTAGAGACCTGTGTCTGAAAGGACAGATTCCACTCCTGACAATTCTTAGTAATACTGAGCCCTCCAATTTGCTTTCAGGTCTTACTTTACGGAAGCACTACTTACATTAGATTAAAACTGTAATGGAATTAAAGGGTGTTAAATCCCACCATTAATTGTGGCTGACTTTAAGAATGGGAATCCCAGAATACTTGATTGTGCTTATGTGAAACTTATTCTTGGACCAGGAGGCAGTCGTCAGAACAGAGCAATGAAAAACTGCATGGTTCAAAATTGGGAAGGGTGTGCGTCAAGGATGTGTCCTATCTTCATATCTTTTCAATCTGTATGCAGAACTGATTATCCAGGAGGCTGGGCTCTATGAGGACAAGTGTGGCATTAGGATTGGAGGTAGACTTATGAACAATTTGCATTATGCAGATGACACAACCCTGCTTGCTGAAACTGAGGAGGACCTGAAGAGCTTGCTGCAGAAGGTCAAGGACTACAGTCTTCAATATGGATTGAAGCCCAACATTAAGAAAACAAAGATTCTCACCACTGGGCCCACTGGCAGCATCATGATAGATGGTGAAGAGATTGAGATTGTTGACAGCTTCAGTTTGCTTGGCTCTCTACAATCAAGACTCTTGGCACTAGCAGCCAGGAAAATAAAAGATGTATTGCATTGGGAAAGTCTGCTGTCAGAGACCTCTCCAAGGTACCAAGGAGCTACGATGTCAGTCTGGAGACTAAGGTGTGCCTGATACAGGCCATGATATTTGCCATTCCTTGCTATGCTTCAAAGAGCTGGACAATGAGTAGGGATGATAGAAGGAGCATTGATGATTTTGAGCTTTGGTGCTGGAGAACAGTATTGAACATACCACAAAAAAGTTCGTCCTGGAGTGGGTAAAGCCAGGTTGTTCCTTGGAGGCAAGGATTCTGAAGCTTTGTCTGACATAGTTTGGACATGTGCAAGGAGGGACCAGTCCTTGGAGAGGGACATCATGCTTGGGAGGGTAGAGGGACAGCATAGGAGAGGAAGACCCCTGATGAGATGGATTGGTTCCATCACTGGGGTAATGGGGATAGGTGTGTCGGAGAAAATAAAGATCGGCAAGGACTAGAGCAGGGTTTAGGGTTGTTGTACACGGGATCGATATGAGTCGCAAACGACTCGATGGCACATTACAACCACCACCACCACCTTTTGGTTGGCAGCACAACTTGTTACCCTCCCTACTACAGGATCTCTCTGAGGCAGTAAGAAGAATGTTATATTAGATATTGGAAGCAGTCCCTTGGGACCCTGGACAAACTACTAGACGCTTACTTAATTTTCTAAGAGTATAGTACCAGGCAGTGATGAACTGAAACTGACTCTATGGCACCTGACAACAATCTTAATGCAACTAGAACATAAAAACTCTTACAAACTCAAGTAATTTGTCTAAAATGAGGCAGAATTTAAACCAAAGTAATGACCTGTCTTACCCTCCTCTATACTGGCCTAGAAATGACAAGGATGACAACAGACCTGCTAGAGGGTCAGCAATGAGTTGGCTTTGACTTGATAGCAGTGAGTGAGTGACTGAGTGAGTTAAGCTGCTAGTAGTCTGTCAGGGTCCCAAAGAACTTGCAACAGGGACCACCTCCAATATCAAATATAACTTTCCTCTTCCTGCCTCAGGGAGCTCTGGTAGCCTGCTGGGTAAGGAATTGTGCTGCCAACCAAAAGACAGGCAATTTGAACCCACCAGCTGCTCCTTGGGAGAAAGATGGGCACTCTCTTTTTGAGTAATTTAGTCTCTGAAAACCCACTCAAGGGTCTGTTAGGAGTCGGTTCCAACTTCATGACAATGAGATGATATGATTATGTAAAATACATAATTCTCTGATTAAATATTTGCATTAAATTTCAAAAGTAGTTATTAGTTGGGTTAACACAACTCTCTACAGATTATGCCACCTGTGCTCCCCTAAAAGTAGTTTTAGTTGGCAAATAAGTCCATGGAAGAACCATCACTTACCATGTCAACCCACCATGCCTAGTTCTGAAGAGAGACTTTGAATTACAATGTAATTTTTATAAAAGAAAACAAGACAGAAGAAAAGGGTTTCTCTATGTAAACAGACTGACTAATTGATTCGTAAGACTAATGAAGATGATGATTAAGAAGTTATGTAGTAAGAATTTACATTATCTAAGACAGCCCACAGGACAAAAGTTAAAGTTAAGAAAAAGTATACAGTTATCTCCTAGTACTTTGAAACTGACATCTCAAAATTATAGAAGAACCCTTTGTTCAGCTTTAATTTGAAGCTCATAACCAGTCATTTAAGGGAGCTCTGGTGACCTAGTGGTAAGAAGCTGTGCTGTAATCCTGAAGGCATGTGGTTCAAATCCACTAGCTGTTCTGGGAGATGGATGGGAAATCTCCTCCTGTGCAATTAACTGCCTCTGAAAACCTGCTGAATGGTCAGCTATGGGTCAGTTCTGACTCCACAGTACAAAACATCAACAACTAGTCCTTTTAAATTGTGTATACTATTATTATTATAATACTGAAACTAGTCTTTATCTGTGCTGTCCAATAAGATAGCCACTAGACACATGTAATGCTTCCTAATTAGAATAAAACGAAAAAACTCAATTTGTCTGTTGCACAAGCCAAACTGTCTGTGCTCAAAAGCTTTATGTGGTGAATAGATATCCAACTGGAAAACAGATGGAGAGTACCTCCATCAACACAGAACATTTTATTGGACATTGCTGCTCTGGGAGCAAAAGGAAATGGATTTTAGCTGATGGCCGACTCACTGCATTGACCTGCACTGAGTGGGCTCTACGTGTTCAAAAGGGGCAAATCCAGAGGACAAATGGGTGATGGCCGTAAAATAACTTCTCCTCCAAAGCCTGATTTACTCCTTGGATTTACTCAAACTGACAATAAGGTTTGTACTAATCTATTTTTTAGCTAAGAGTTGTCTGAAATGTTTTTATCTTGTGTTTTTTGCTTTCTGTGGTACTGCACCTAATTATAGCAGCTTTCACGTTTTTGCTACAAATGTTTTAAATGCAGATTTTTCTAAACAATACTATCTAAATAATACTGTTTCTTTTTTTTTTTTTGCTATGAGCCGTCTATGACTGGACGGCACCTAACAACAACAACTATGCTTTTGTCCTTCAAGGTGGGGGAGATGTGCCTTTTATTTCCTCTTTTGTTTATAAAAGTGTTCATTATAAATAATTAGAATATACTTACAAAAAATTAAATCTAATCTCATAAGCCAAAGATAATGACAGCTATTATTTTAATGAATTTCCTTCTTGACAATTTATCTCCACATGCAAATAAATATATATTTTTATTATATAATAGAACCATACTATTCTATTCTTGGAATTTTACTGAACCAACAGATTTTTGATATTAATATTTATCATTTCTTTTGGTTGCACAGTATCACACTGTGACTGTACCATCATTTTGCCAACCTTTCTTATATTAATACTTATTCTGGATGTTTTAAATTTATGAAGATACCCTGGTAATGTGGCTAAGAATTCAGCTGTACTAACAGAAAAATAATTGGTCTGAATTCCTCAGGTGCTCTGCAGGGGAAAGATGTTTCCACATCTTTCTTCCCTAAAGACTACAGCCTTGAAAACTGTAAAGGGCTTTTC